CTCAAATTGCATATATTAGGCCTCAAATTGAATATATTAGGCCTCAAATTGCATATATAAGGCCTCAAATTGCATATATTAGGCCTCAAATTGCATATATATTAGGCCTAGGACGGTTAGGTTAGATATTATCAACAACAAAATTACAAAACCTTTTCCAGTTTGTCCAAATTCAATAGTTGCAAATTCTACTTTCTGTCCATTACGTCAATATGTGTATAATAGTCCACATCGTTACCCGTAGCACTATCTATACAGGAGGATGGGCTCTAACTAGTAGAGGGTTGAAACTGTAGAGTTCCACAAACTCTGTAGTCCTTGTAGTCCTCTGTAGTCCTAGTCCTGTATGACTAACCATCCTGGGAGATGACTCTTAGTTTCACTGCTATCTTATTCACTCTTGTGTTGAAGATATCCTCATAATGCTCCCAGAGTCTGCCAGTGCAGACTACTGATCACATGCCTCTGTATGACTAACCATCCTGTGTGATGGGGACTTGTATTATCACTGCTGCCTTATTCACTCTTGTGTTGATGATATCCTCATAATGCTCCCAGAGTCTGTCAGTGCAGACTACTGATCACATGCCTCTGTATGACTAACCATCCTGTGTGATGGGGACTTGTATTACCACTGCTACCTTATTCACTCTTGTGTTGATGATATCCTCATAATGCTCCCAGAGTCTGCCAGTGCAGATTACTGATCACATGCCTCTGTATGACTAACCATCCTGTGTGATGGGGATTTTTTAGCATCACGTAGCTAGCTTTTTGACGCATTGTACTCCCCTTCATATAGTTTAGGGTAGCTGTACTAATGCACATGTACTTAAATGTGTTAATAAAAAAAATTAGATGGTCTGAAAGGGACATTTCACAGTGTCCGCTCCATGAGCTAGAGCCTAATATCGGAGCTCTCGTAATGTAATGGTAGATAGCGAAATTGCACATGTAATGGAGTAGTCAGATAAGCGCTGTACCTTGCAGTGAGAAGCAAATCTGTTTCTACCTGAACCACTTGGACTGGACGGTAGAACGACGGTCTCGCTTCATGCAGGTCGGCGTTCAATCCCCGACCGTCCAAGTGGTTGGGCACCATTCCTCCCCCCCCCCCCGTCCCTTCCAAAATCCTTATCCTGACCCCTTCCCAGTGCTATATAGTCGTCATGGGTTGGGTCTTTCCCCCTGATAGTTTCCTCCCCTCCTGTAAGGTAACTGTTCACCTCCATAAACTTAATACCACCTTTACCCTCACCTACCTTACCTTGAGGTTACCTTGAGGTGCTTCCGGGGCTTAGCGTCCCCGCGGCCCGGTCGTCGACCAGGCCTCCTGGTTGCCGGACTGATCAACCAGGCTGTTGGACGCGGCTGCTCGCAGCCTGGTTGATACCTGGTTGATGGGGTTCTGGGAGTTCGTCTACTCCCCAAGCCCGGCCCGAGGCCAGGCTCGACTTGTGAGAGTTTGGTCCACCAGGCATGTGGGCCTGCGGGCCGCTTGGAGCGGCCCGCAGGCCCACATACCCACCACAGCCCGGTTGGTCCGGCACTCCTTGAAGGAATAAATCTAGTTTCCTCTTGAAAATGTCCACGGTTGTTCCGGCAATATTTCTTATGCTTGCTGGGAGGACGTTGAACAACCGCGGACCTCTGATGTTTATACAGTGTTCTCTGATTGTGCCTATGGCACCTCTGCTCTTCATTGGTTCTATTCTACATTTTCTTCCATGTCGTTCACTCCAGTACGTTGTTATTTTACTGTGTAGATTTGGTACTTGGCCCTCCAGTATCTTCCAGGTGTATATTATTTGATATCTCTCTCGTCTTCTTTCTAGTGAGTACATTTGGAGGGCTTTGAGACGATCCCAATAATTTAGGTGCTTTATTGCGTCTATGCGTGCCGTATATGTTCTCTGTATTCCCTCTATTTCAGCAATCTCTCCTGCTTTGAAGGGGGAAGTGAGTACTGAGCAGTACTCAAGACGGGACAACACAAGTGCCTTGAAGAGTACAACCATTGTGATGGGATCCCTGGATTTGAAAGTTCTCGTAATCCATCCTATCATTTTTCTGGCTGTCGCAATATTTGCTTGGTTATGCTCCTTAAACGTTAGGTCGTCAGACATTATTATTCCCAAATCCTTTACATGCTGTTTTCCTACTATGGGTACATTTGATTGTGTTTTGTACTCTGTATTATGTTTAAGGTCCTCATTTTTACCGTACCTGAGTACCTGGAATTTATCACTGTTAAACATCATGTTATTTTCTGATGCCCAGTCGAAAACTTTATTAATATCAGCTTGAAGTTTTTCAATGTCCTCAGCCGAGGTAATTTTCATACTGATTTTTGTGTCATCTGCAAAGGATGATACGAAGCTGTGACTTGTATTTTTGTCTATATCTGATATGAGAATAAGGAAAAGCAGTGGTGCAAGGACTGTACCCTGAGGTACAGAGCTTTTCACTGCACTTGGACTAGATTTTATATGGTTGACAGTTACTCGCTGAGTCCTGTTTGACAGAAAACTGAGTATCCAGCGTCCTACTTTACCGGTTATTCCCATTGACTTCATTTTGTGTGCTATCACGCCATGGTCACATTTATCGAAGGCCTTTGCGAAGTCCGTGTATATCACATCAGCATTCTGTTTCTCTTCTAATGCCTCAGTGACTTTGTCGTAGTGCTCAAGTAGCTGTGAGAGGCACGATCTTCCCGCTCGAAATCCATGTTGGCCTGGGTTATGAAGGTCATTGGTCTCCATGAAATTGGTGACCTGACTCCTAATCACTCTCTCAAATACTTTTATGATGTGCGATGTTAGTGCAACTGGTCTATAATTTTTTGCCAATGCTTTGCTCCCTCCCTTGTGTAGAGGGGCTATGTCTGCTACTTTAAGTGCATCTGGTATCTCCCCCTGACGTATGAGTCACAGCCTGGTTGATCAGGTATCCTTTGGAGGTGCTTATCTTGAACACTGTGAGGGGTCGGCCAGTTATGCCCCTTATGTGTAGTGGAAGCGTGTTGAACAGTCTCGAACCTCTGATGTTGATAGAGTTCTCTCTCAGAGTACCTGTTGCTACATGTAACCTACATTACTACCCTCCCCCCCCCCTACATAACCTAGTCCTCCCCGCCGCCTTACAACCACATGGCCACTAACGACCATCAACCACTTGCTAGACCAATTACTACCCACTTACCGGGCAGTTCCGGTATAACCAAGGAGGTGTCGACCCCTTGAGAGCCCCGGTAATCTGTCAATGCTTCCTCATCGTGCCGGACAGGGGGGGGGAGGGAGGATGAAGACAAACAGCCATCTCACTCAACCACCTCGTTACCGCTCCACGCTTGCGTCGTCAACACCCCAAACCGAACGTAAACAAGAGGCCGATAGAGCATCAGTGTGAAGAAACTAGATGTGATGCGAAGTTTTAGTTTCAACAACGGTATTAAAACGGTATTGTCAAGACAGTCATTACCCCCCCTACAGGCAGCCATAGAGGGCAATGCACTTTCAATTCTCCGCGACAGACACTGGATCCACCTGAGCCATTCATTGAAATCGAGAAAAATGGCTCTCTATCTGGTCATTTTCGTGTACCATTCGCCACTAAAAGGTCTATCAGTAAGCCACGGATCTTAAAGACGACGTGTGGTTGGCCGACTGTAGTTAAGATGGTTTATTATATACATAAATCTGTGAACGACACTGAATCACAGCCATGGTTAACGGGGCTGTTTTCAAGCCCTCGGATTGGTCGGTTGGTTGCACGTGTACCTGGTTGATACCTGGTTGATACCTGGTTGATGGGGTTCTGGGAGTTCTTCTACTCCCCAAGCCCGGCCCGAGGCCAGGCTTGACTTGTGAGAGTTTGGTCCACCAGGCTGTTGCTTGGAGCGGCCCGCAGGCCCACATACCCACCACAGCCCGGTTGGTCCGGCACTCCTTGGAGGAAACAATCTAGTTTCCTCTTGAAGATGTCCACGGTTGTTCCGGCAATATTTCTTATGCTCGCTGGGAGGATGTTGAACAACCGTGGACCTCTGATGTTTATACAGTGTTCTCTGATTGTGCCTATGGCACCTCTGCTCTTCACTGGTTCTATTCTGCATGTTCTTCCATATCGTTCACTCCAGTACATTGTAGAATTCACACCTTCTGACTGACTGATTTAGTGGACGGGAAATATTAGGCTTGCGATGGGCTGGGAAGTTGCATGTGCAATGATTCCGTCTTCTGATTAGTTGATTAGTGATCCGTCCAGTAATCACGTTTTTCGAAAGACTGCTTAATTGCAATTACAAAATATACATTTTCTGGTAGGCCGTGAGCACATATTTACAACTGGCCAGAAGAATTAAATAAATCACTAAATAAACTACCGTTCGTTTATTGGTCAAGAGGCACTAAGCTCTTTCAAGCTTTCTGATTGGTTGATGGAAGGTGCCCTTGAGCTATCTAATTGGCTGAAGGATCAAACAAATCTTGTCAACAACATAATTGGCTAAGAGCACGAAATTGAATTCTTCCCGAATGTCGATTTGTAGCAAGCACAGTGTACACTCCTGGCTGAGTTGAGGTTATTTACCTAAATTTACCTGAGGGCAACTCTCTCTCTAGTGGCCTCAACGGGGACAAAACCGGCGGCTTGTCAAAGACCCCCCACTATCCATCGCCCCAAGGTTCCTAAATATTTTTTTTATATCAGGATTTTGAACTGAAGTAATGTCTTGACATTTACGGCTTCGGCGGGTAGGCAGTTCCATAAGTCTATCCTGGTCATGTTACTGGCGCCGTGTCGCCAAATATCAACCAATCGTACTGAAAACAATCACCATTGCTCAAGGCAATAAAGAGATTATAATAAATCAACCCCAACCCAAAAAACAGCCAATCAAATTCATTTTAAATGAGAAAACATCGGGGCCATACAACGGGATTGAACTCTCGCATCCCCACGGAGAACTAATGAACGTTCTGCAATGTAATACTAACTGGTATTACACCTTTAGGGATACCAACAGGTATTACACCTTTAGGGATACCAACAGGTATTACACCTTTAGGGATACCAACAGGTATTACACCTTTAGGGATACCAACTGGTATTACACCTTTAGGGATACCAACAGGTATTACACCTTTAGGGATACCAACAGGTATTACACCTTTAGGGATACCAACAGGTATTACACCTTTAGGGATACCAACAGGTATTACACCTTTAGGGATACCAACAGGTATTACACCTTTAGGGATACCAACAGGTATTACACCTTTAGGGATACCAACAGGTATTACACCTTTAGGGATACCAACAGGTATTACACCTTTAGGGATACCAACAGGTATTACACCTTTAGGGATACCAACAGGTATTACACCTTTAGGGATACCAACAGGTATTACACCTTTAGGGATACCAACAGGTATTACACCTTTAGGGATACCCAAAAATAAACCTGATTTGTATAGATAGCAGGCGAAGCAGAGAGGTGTTCCCACTTTTCACAACCGAAAAGTCACAGATTCGGTTCCTAAGGCAAGAGAATCCAACAGGATTCCTGCCCCAGCAATGGGATTATTATTAACATCTTTATTGACAAAATTAATTAAAATTTTGCCTAATCTGAGAATTTCGATTAAGTCTTAAAGTGAGGATAATGCTGGTATTCAAGCAATGGAGAACAGAAGAAAATGTATATATGCTGGTTAGCATTGTAAATGTGTGGCCACGTCTGTGGTAGAAAAAAAAAAAAAGCAATGGGAAGCCAAATTTGTTCTCTCTCGTAGAGGTGAACAACACCCCTACGGGAGACCTGTAGGGGTGTTCTACGCTCATGCATTGTTCAATAATGTTCATCCATTGATTTAGCTCTCTGTTCTGGATATTTCCTTGTCTGTGAAAGCTGTGAGATTGATTTCTCCTGCGGTATACTTGTATGCTTCCCTGTCAGTTTCTGTAGACTGGAGCCTCGCATCTGGGGGTTTGTGTGTTGGGTTCATAGATGTGATCAGTAGTATTGGTGGCTGATTTCTTGGGGGTTAGCGGGGCCACTGTTCAATATAACCCCACTTAGGGCTTCAGTGTAACCCCACTTAAGGTTCAATAAATACCCCACTTAGGGTTCAATAAATACCCCACTTAGGGTTCAATAAATACCCCACTTAGGGTTCAATAAATACCCCACTTAGGGTTCAATAAATACCCCACTTAGGGTTCAATAAATACCCCACTTAGGGTTCAATAAATACCCCACTTAGGGTTCAATAAATACCCCACTTAGGGTTCAATAAATACCCCACTTAGGGTTCAATAAATACCCCACTTAGGGTTCAATAAATACCCCACTTAGGGTTCAATAAATACCCCACTTAGGGTTCAATAAATACCCCACTTAGGGTTCAATAAATACCCCACTTAGGGTTCAATAAATACCCCATTTAGGGTTCAATAAATACCCCACTTAGGGTTCAATAAATACCCCACTTAGGGTTCAATAAATACCCCATTTAGGGTTCAATAAATACCCCACTTAGGGTTCAATAAATACCCCACTTAGGGGTTTCAATATAACCCCATTTTGTGTTTCAATATAACACCCCACTTTGAGTTTCAATATAACCCTCACTTAGGGGTTCAATAAACCCCACTTTGGGGTTCAATAAACCCACTTAGGGGTTGAATAAAAGCCTCATTTAGGGGCTCAATAAAAGCCCCACTTAGGGTTTCAATAAACCCCACTTAGGGCTTCATTGCAACCCCACTCAGGGGTTCAATAAAACCCCACTTAGGGTTATATTGTAATATTCCTCCTAATATGTTGTTAGCCGAACTCAAGAGATAGTAAAAACAGTAATTAAATGACCTGGGGTGACAGATGGGGGTGATAGTTTCCTGTGCCACGGAAAGTTGACTGATAACCTGACATACATCTTGGAGTGTCATGTTAGGCATGGTAGTAATTCTTTTCCTCTTGGCTCACTCATTTCTCTTCTCCGTGTTCTGGCGAATGGTTTCAGAGTTTTCTTCAGTAGAGGCTTCATCTAGTCTCATCTTAAGGCTGGTTTGAACAAGAACACAACCGTAGATGAACTTTTCAGACTGGGTTGAACAGGTGTATAGCCCTACAAGAACAAAATACGAATTTTGGTTTTCTTGACTAGCCAAACGCCTGCGCGCGCACACGCACGCACGCACGCACGCACGCACACACACAAAGTACACACACACACTCACATACACAAGGATAGATTGGTAAATAAGGATAAACTATTCAACACGGGTGGTACGCGAACAAGGGGACACAGGTGGAAACTTAGTACCCACATGAGCCACAGAGACATTAGAAAGAACTTTTTCAGTGTCAGAGTAGTTAACGGATGGAATGCATTAGACAGTGATGTGGTGGAGGCTGACTCCATACACAGTTTCAAATGTAGATATGATAGAGCCCAGTAGGCTCAGGAATCTGTACACCAGTTGATTGACGGTTGAGAGGCGGGACCAAAGAGCCAAAGCTCAACCCAGCAAGTACAACTAGGTGAGTACACACGAGAGTAGCCCTGGGATTGGTGGTGGGAGGAGCTTGGCACTCCCTGGCACTCATTCTTCCCTTCAACCCTCTATACCCCAGACAAGCGACAGTTATTGGCCAAGTCTTATTACACGCTCAAACAACCGGTTAATGCAACTTTGGCTGCGAGGGCCAGTAGGTCTCCGAGCTGGTGCTGCAACAAGCGAGGCACAGTGCCACAACTCTGGTGGCACCTCTCGCACTCTTACATGCTATCAGGATCACAGAGAGAGAGAGAGAGAGAGAGAGAGAGAGAGAGAGAGAGAGAGAGAGAGAGAGAGAGAGAGAGAGAGAGAGAGAGGAGAGAGAGAGAGAGAGAGAGAGAGAGCGCAACAAATCTCCCAGCTATCTAAGCGCCTAACTGCTAATCGTTTTCACAATGACAGCCGCATTAATGCAAGAAAAAAACCGCAACATGAGAAAAGCGCGATGTAATATTCAGCCGCGTCGCCCACATGTGCGAGACACCTTAGGGAGCAGGCGAGACCCAGAAGAGTCCTCGTCTAGGTAACCTAAGTGCTTTAAGTCAATTCATTATTTGGGAAAGTGCCTGACGCTTTGCCATACGACAGATAATCACCTGGGAATGGCAGACACTCGTGTGAGAGTGACAAGACCGTCCGTAGGACAAACACAAAGTTATCTTGCAGGCTGAGTCACAATAACGTGGCTGAAGTATGTTGACCAGACCACACACTAGAAAATGAAGGGACGACGATGTTTTGGTCCGTCCTGGACCATTCTCACGTCCATTGTGTGAATAACCAGACAATCGACTTGAGAATGGTCCAGAACTGACCGAAACGTCGTCGTCCCTTAATTTTCTAGTGTGTGGATTGGTCAACACAAAGTTATCTTGGTGCATTACAGGTGCTCACACAGCCAAAAGTCATTTTGCAACTTGGCAGATCTTCCCCGCAGCGAGAAAATGGCACGTTGTTGCACAGTATAAGGAATCCCTTGACTATGTCGCGTGAGCGTATGTTGCTCCCTCCTTCATAATGCTAACTCCCTTCAAACTCATTATATCATCTCATTATCTCCCAAAACTTTCTAATCTACATTCACAAACGCTCTGCAAGATCGCTGGGCACACGATCTTGCTGCAAGAAGCAATATACAACAGCGTATCCGGGTCTTGCCGCAAAAGGGTGAGGGTGGACGCTTCTCTACGACGCCCAAATCTGCTGCTCTACCAGGTCGTCCACAAATTTATCTTGGACTGCCAATAATCAGGTCCTCCTCGTCCTGACTTGAGTGTAAGGGGGGTCAGGGAACAGGTGCCAATCAGGAGCACCTGCACAAATGATCCTCTTGAAGGATTCACGCCCCGTGGGTCCTCAGGACTCGACTACTCAACTGGTCGCCCCTATATCTTTGCCACTACAAAATGGAACCATTTTGACGGCGCTGGAACGAATCGTACTGGCGTTTGCCTTTCCATTGGAGACTTTCGGCGCCGTGGAGAGGGGGAGACCTGCTGCTTGAGTAACAGCTTCTCCTCCATAATAACTTACCCTGGCTTTGCGCCCTGGGGAAGCCACTCCAGACCAACAACCAGAGCGCAACTCCATAGTCTCCTGAGACTAATGGATGCCTACTACTACTACTCGAGATACGTCATAAGTCCTCCACCAAAAGCTTCCTTCACTCACGAAGCTTCTCACAAATTCTTCTCCTTAAGCCACAAAATATCCTTCTTCTTCAGGAGCGACGACGTACGTCCTTCTCTTCCGCCCCTCACAACTCAAGTGACGTCTTAAGACCTCTGCCCACGTCGCGTCGCAGACTGTTGACATCTCACCTCGTTTCCTTAAAGATGCTCACCCGCCGCTGCTGGCCTCCTCAGTCACATTTAGTGACGTTTGCGTGGCTTAATTCATCTCCCTGACCCCTGAATCTGGCCAGGTGGAGAAATAACTCTCACAGGGGCACGGACCTACATTACGAGGCTACATGTCCACGTAGCGCCGTGCTACATGCAGATTTCGTTCCGAATTTCTAAATCTAAAACAACAATGAGGCTACATGCGGGTTCATAAATTTTTTTTAAAATTTTGCCCCGAGGGGGCGAGTTTATTGGGCAGCGCCACTCATCTTGTGAGTGAACATACCGCCATAGCAGAATGTACAACACTCCCCAATAGAAGAAAACCCGCTGGGTTGTTCATCCTGTCACTTGTACCCAGACACAGCTGGGACTTGCTTAACTGTCTCAAGTGAACAGCTCCTCAAACAAGAAGATTAACATTTATCAACCCTTAAAAGCTTACGTTATCTTGCGGGTGCAAAATGGGGAAATCTTTTAAGAACAGTATCAATATTTGACAAATAGTGTTTTCCTAACTCAAACAATGTGGGGTTTATTATTCTGCACATATTTCTGATTCTCTCAGGTGTTCACATTCACGTAGATAGTGGTCAAGGCGGTGTCCATCACTCTCACCACAGATTCTGCAACTCCGCTGATCAACTGTTGTTTCCATTCCATATCTCCATGGATATTTGTATCCAAGACGGATTCTCGCTATTACAGATTCTCTCCCACCACTCGTCGTCC